GTAAGTAATATCTGTTTCGCTACCCCATGGATCTTTAAAAGATAAGGGAGTATAAAACTGCTTCGCAGGATTTGGAAAGAGAACATTGGCGTACGATGCGGTGCCGGAGGGCAACCAGTAGGCGCCGTTCATAGGCACATAACCCGCTTCCCCCAACATAGTTGCGGTCACCAGACCATCATAACAGTGTTGGAGCAAATTGGCTGTAAAGGCCAGTTGGTATTGCTCATGCGGTATCGCCAATGATTCCAGATCGCGGAAGGGCAATGGAGTAGCGGCAGCACTATTGGCCCGGTACAGGCTGCGGACGTGGCTCAGCAAACGTTGCTCTTTAGCCCCTGTTGCCTCGTCAGAGAAATCTATCTCCGTCATGCTTTGAAACTGGTCGGCCCATGCGGCTAATGTCCATAACCCATCCGGCTTTTCAAGGCCAAGTACTTCGTAGGTCTTTGCTTCGGCCGGCAGGCGCAACCGGTAATGGTGCGCATCTATCGCATCCTGCGTCAACGTATTTTGTGTAAAGACGATGTGCATCTTAGCCTGTTCATCCTTTACTTTTTGTGGTAGCCCGGCTATCTCTTTTTTCCGCGGATAAGCGATCTGTACACTTTCCAATACATTGCCATATACATCAGTAGCAATAGTCAGCTGCTGGCTGATCCGCGGATCTTCGGGATCGCGCTCACAACTAAAGGTTATACTTTGCTGCTGCTGGCTTAAGAAAGAAGCATAGCGGTTCTTGCCTTGCTTTTGCACCCGCTTCACCGCGTAAGCACTGGCCGTTACGGTATAGGGGATATGCTGTAATTGCGTATTGCCATCAAGCGCATATACTTCCTGCCTCAATGGTAATCCTTTTAGTGCACGGTAAGATTCGCGCTGTTCCTGTGCGTTCAGCTTGCGTGGCATATCGGTGATGAGCGTAAGATCATCCCAATCTTTAATTGCAAAATATTCCTTTTTAAAAGCATCCAGTAAAGTGTGCTCCCGCAACCAGGCACCGGTATGGTTCCAGGTTTTGGTCAGCACAGGCGGCTGGTCCAGGCTATCATTGCCCGAGCTGACTGCCGTATCCGTATCCAGCGTCTCCACATAACCAAAGCCACGAAACTCACGCTCTTCATGATCATAGTAACCATGGCGGTATTTATAGGTTTGCGTATAAGTTGTATCGCTCACCGCATCGTGGGTAGTGATGCTGCTGATACAATGCACCGGGAAGGGCAGCCGGGTGGCCCAGGGAATACCGGCCCGCTTATCGG